GAGAGAGAGAGAGAGAGAGAGAGAGAGAGAGAGAGAGAGAGAGAGAGAAGAGCGAAGGGAAAGGAGGGATGGGAAAGAGACCGGGGGGGGGGGAATTAGAGACAGAGAGAGAAATTGATGTCGAGGGTTTGTCAACTACCGACAAGTATTATATACGTATAGACTGACGAGAAGGAGTATTGGTGTAACGTATGTACAGACTGCGAACGTGTCTCTGATATTCTAATTCCACCCTTGTGTATTCCGACCAACCACCTTTCCAACCCCTCCCCCTACAATTCATCCTCCGCGATTTTCATTAGGGTAACGTGCCGCGTAAATCCGAGCGCCGCTTCAACTTTTTTCCTCCACCATTCCCCTCTTTCTCTCTCTCTCTCTCTCTCGTTCGCTCCTTGTCCCTTTCGCTCACCGGCGTTCGTTTTCTTCCCTGTGTCTTTCTTCCCGTTACTCTCTTCTTTCCGCTACGCCAGCCGTCGGTGCTCTTCCGTCCTTTTGAGGACTTCAGCGCACGGATCATCGCCTCGCGACACGTCCTTATCCGCGGTGCTACCACCCTCCTCGAAATGCCGTGACTTGTTACGTTCGCTGATGTTTTTTTTCTTTCTTTCTTTCGTTAAACGACATTACCTCTGAATTGCCGCGCGGATTACCACAGTCTGCGCGACAGATCGAACGCTTTGATTAGCGAGGCGCAAATCGGTCGGTGGTTGGATACTGTTTGTAACCTACGATTGACGATAATGATCTTGTTACATTCCTTCGTTTGGTCAAAGTATCGAATCACTCGAGTATCTTTCCCGAGTAGGGAGAGGGAGCTTTGTTTTCCCGTTCAGATCCTCTTTTTTTTTTCTTTTTCTTTTTCCTTTTTTTCGGCGTCGCGCCCTCCGAAACGATCCAGGTTCGACGAAGATATCGCCGAGGAATCCATTTATTTTTATCGCGCAATAACTTCCCCCTCCCCGAGCCCCCGCGCGTTGTTCCATTTTTATCGCGAAACGATGGAGTACCTACCGTTAAATTAATTCCCTGAAAAGTATCTGGCGGAGAGGTAGGCACCCGGGGGTCGTGCTCGCTCGGATTTATTTCCTCG